GCCTCCACATGGCCCTGGTCGACCTCTTCATCGGTGGCACCGAGACCACGGCCGCCGCCCTGGCCTGGGCCGGCGCCTTCCTGCTCCACCGCCCTGAGGTGCCACCCGCGGGTCACTGCCGCGTCCCCATGCGGGTCCTCATGCCCCCACGGGTGTCCCCAGGGGGGTCCCATGCCCCCCCCATGTCTTGTCCCCATGGCCATCACCATCCCCTCGCACTGCCCTGAGGTGCCACACGTGTGTCCCCAAGTCCCCATGGGTGTCCCCAGGGGGTCCCATGTCCCCACCCATGTCCTATGTCCCCCCCGGGTCCCCTCCCCATGGCCATCACCATCCTGTTGCATCGCTCCAAGGTGCCACACATGTGTCACCGCCATGTCCCGTCTGTGTCCATGTCCACATGGGGCTCCTTGGTCCACTTTATGTCCTGCTCCCCCCTGCCCATTGCCACCATGTGTCCCAGGGTGGGGGTGGCGGGAGCTGGGTCCTGACGGGACCCCCCAGCCGGGGGACACCGGGCGCCTGCCCCTCCTCCACGCCACCGTCACCGAGACCCTGCGCCTCCGGCCACCCGCCCCCCTGGCCCTGCCCCACTGCGCCCGCCGCCACACCAGGTATGGCCAGTAGAAACCGATACGGACTAGAGCAGACCAGTATTGACGAGCGTGCACTAGTATGAACCACTATAGACCAGTTAGGGACCACTGGGCTGAGGTTGCAGCACTGTGCACTGATATGTGTCAGTGTTTTGCACCAGTTTAGACCAGTATGGACCAGTATGAACCAGTTTAGATGAGTATGGGCCAGTATAGACTAGCTTAGATGACTACGGACCAGTATGGATCAGCATGAACCTGTATGGACCACTGGATATCCGTTTGCAGCACCTTGCACCAATGTGTGTCAGGGTTTTGCACCAGTTTAGACCAGTATGGACCAGTATGAACTAGTTTAGATGAGTATGGACCAGTACAGGCCAGTGTGGACTAGAACAGACCAGCATAAACCACGACAGACCGTATGGACCCGTGGGCATGAGGTTGCAGCTTACTGTGCATCAATGTTTTAAACCAGTATAGACCAGTATAAACTAGTATATAGACCAGTATGGAGGACAGGGCATCAGGTTGCAGCACTATGCACCAGTGCCTGATACCACTTCGTACCACTCCAAACCAGTGTAAAGTGGTCCCAGCAGAGACCAGTATGGCCCAGTACAAAGCAGCATAGCACAGTGCAGCTCAGTACAGCCCCAATAAGAAAGGGCACAACCAGTATGACTCAGTACAAATCAGTATTACCCAGTAGGCCCCAGTAGAGCCCCAGGAGACCCGACTACATCCCAGTAGGCCCATCAGGTCGTAGTAGACCCCAATACATCCCAGAAGCCCCAGGAGGACACAGCAGACACCGGCATGCCCCAGCAGACCCCAGTATAACCCAGTAGGCCCCAGTAAACCCCAGTAGGCCCCAGGAGGACACAGTAGGTGCCAGCAGATGCCAGTACATCCCAGTAAACCCCAGTAGGCCCCAGGAGCACACATTAGGCCCCAGCAGACCCCTGTACATCCCGGTAGGCCCCAGCAGACCCCAGTACATCCCAGTAGGTCTCAGTAAACCCCAGGAGGACACAGTGGGCCCCAGCAGGCCCCAGTACATCCTGGTAGACTCCAGTAGGCCCCAGTAGGTCTCAGTAAACCCCAGTAGGCCCCAGGAGGACATAGTAGGCCCCAGCAGGCCCCTGTAAACCTCAGTAGGCCCCAGGAGGACACAGTAGGCCACAGCAGACCCCTGGACATCCCAGTAGGCCCTACTAGGTCTCAGTAAACCCCAGTAAGCCCAGGAGATCTCAGTAGGCCCCAGCAGAGCCCAGTAGGCTCCAGTAGGTCTATGTAAACCTCAGTACACCCCAGTAGAACCCAGTAGGCTCAGGAGGTCCCAGTAGGCCTTAGTACATCCCAGAAAGTCCCAGGAGGGCCCCAGTAGACTCCAATAGGTCCCAGTAGGCCCCAGGAGAGCCCAGTAGATCCCAGTAGGCCCCGGGAGAGCCCAGTAGACCCTAGAGAGCACCAGTAGGCCTCAGCAGACACCAGCAGGTCCCAGCAGGCTCCAGTATATCCCAGCAGAGCCCCGGTGCAGCCCAGTCTGTCCCAGTAAATCCCAGCACCACCTTGTTCCCTCCCAGTGTCGGGGGCATCCCGGTGCCGGCTGGCTCCATCCTGGTCCCCAACCTCCTGGCTGCTCACCAGGACCCTGACACCTGGCACCACCCCGAGGCCTTCCTGCCTGGTAACCTGCGGCCCTCCTGGGTGCTGGGGGCCCTCCTGGGTGCTGGGGTCCCCTGAGCCCTTTGGGGTGGGTCCCTTCCTGGGTGCCAGGGTCCCTTCTAAGTGCTGGGGTCCCTTCTGGGTTCTGGGGTCCCCTCCTGGGTGCTGAGGGCCCTCCTGGGTGCTGGGGGCCCCTGAGCCCCTCAGGGTGGGTCCCCTCCTGGCTGCCAGTGTGCCCTGATCCCCTCTCTGCCCCCCAGAGAGGTTCCTGGTGCCGGGGGCTCCCTGGCGGGCGCTGGTGCCCTTTGGCTGTGGGGCCCGATCCTGCCTGGGCGAGGGGCTGGCACGGGCTGAGCTCTTCGTCTTCCTGGGCCGGCTCCTGCAGGAATTCCGGCTGGAGCCCCCCACGCCTGGGTCTCTGCCCCACCTGGGGGTGACCGCGGGCACTGTCCTGCGCTGCCCCCCTTTCCGCGTCCGCATGGTGCCCTGCGCGCCCTCCGCCTGACTGGGCACAGGTGCTGGGGGCACAGGTGCTGGGGGCCATGGGTGCTGGGGGTCATGGGTTCTGAGGGCATTGGTGCTGGAGGCCATGGGTGCTGGGGCCATGGGTGCTGGATGCCATGGGGGCTGGGGGAATGGGTGCTGGGAGCAGGGGGGCCGGG